CTCTGTCTAGATCGGCGAGTTTACCAGCACTGGTGGTGCACATAGTTATGGAAAGATGCAACTGCAAATAAGCAACACAAAGTATTTGAGTTTGAGAACCAAAGAATGCATGACCCCGATGCTCTTTTGTGCCCACGTAAGTGACTAAGACATGTTAGCGCTGGAATATCATGGAATGCCTTTCCCTCCCCTTTGGCTGTAGAGAAACTCAAGTGAGACACTTGCAGCATTTTTTGATTTTCTCTGAACCTTTTTAGAGCTTCACAGACCCGAAGGTGCATTTCTTGTAGAGCTAGTTGTTGGGTGTTTTGAGCATCCACACTTGGCAAGAGACAGGACCGTTCCACAAGAAGCTTACGGTTGAAGTCAATCTATACACACACAGAGCTCCAATGTGGTTTTCTACAGTGAGTAGGAGACATCTGTGTTACAACCCTTTTAAAAAAAAATTGCTGGTGTGGCTGGAAAAACACAGATGCCTGTAATAGTAGCTGAGAGTTGTGCTGGCATTTGGCTTTTCCCATACTGTAGAAGGACCCATAAGCCCCATCTATACAACAAAAACAACCTCTGTTGTTATGTTTGTGGTCCAGCCATGTCATACCGTGGTTATTTTTGTTTTGTTCACACAAATTTAGACTTATCCAACCTTTGTTTATCCATACTGAAATGTTGCCCCTTCTTGTAGACATAGGCTATTATTTAGACTTAGGTCCTTTATTATATTAGTTCTCTCCTACCTCCTTGTGCATACAAATAGGCTCTGTTAGAATCATAGAATATCAGGGTTGGAAGGGACCTCAGGAGGTCATCTAGTCCAACCCCCTGCTCAAAGCAGGACCAGTTCCCAACTAAATCATCTCAGCTAGGGCTTTGTGAAGCCTGACCTTAAAAACCTCTAAGGAAGGAGATTCCACCACCTCCCTAGGTAACCCATTCCAGTGCTTCACCACCCTCCTAGTGAAAAAGTTTTTCCTAATATCCAACCTAAACCTGCCCAACTGCAACTTGAGACCATTGCTCCTTGTTCTGTCATCAGGTACCACTGAGAACAGTCTAGATCCATCCTCTTTGCAACCCCCTTTCAGGTAGTTGAAAGCAGCTATCAAATCCCCCTTCATTCTTCTCGTCTGCAGACTAAACAATCCCAGTTCCCTCAGCCTCTCCTCATAAATCATGTGCTCCATCCCCCTAATCATTTTTGTTGCCCTCCGCTGGACTCTTTCCAATTTTTCCACATCCTTCTTGTAGTGTGGGGCCCAAAACTGAACACAGTACTCCAGATGAGGCCTCACCAATGTCGAATAGAGGGGAACGATCACGTCCCTCGATCTGCTGGCAATGCCCCTACTTATACAGCCCAGAATGCCATTAGCCGTCTTGGCAACAAGGGCACACTGTTGACTCATATCCAGCTTCTCGTCCACTGTAACCCCTAGGTCCTTTTCTGCAGAACTGCTGCCTAGCCGTTCAGTCCCTAGTCTGTAACAGTGCATGGGATTCTTCCGTCCTAAGTGCAGGACTCTGCACTTGTCCTTGTTGAACCTCATCAAGTTTCTTTTGGCCCAATCCTCTAATTTGTCTAGGTCCCTCTGTATCCTGTCCCTACCCTCCAGCATATCTACCACTCCTCCCAGTTTAGTGTTAATTGTAGCCACTCAGAAAAATGGCCTTGTAATTGTTGTTTGCAGTGTTATTGTAGCTATGTTTGTCCTAGGATATGAGAGAGATGAGGTGGGTGAGGTAATATCTTTTATTGGACCAACTTCTGTTGGTGAAAGAGCCTAGCTTTCAAGCTCCACAAAGCTCTTTTTTGGGCCTGAATGTCTGACAGCGTCTTCAGGCCTGAAGAAGAGCTTGTAGTTACGGACAGCTTACTAAAACGATCTGTTCTGTGCCAGGATATCTGACTAGAATTGATGGAATGCCTTCACCATCTTGAGTATTGTGTTCAGTGCTGGTCACCCCATCTCAAAAATGGTATCACTGAAATAGACCTCTGCAAGTATAAAGGTGCCACTCACAGAAGCTACAGGTCCCAGCATGTCAGGCTGCTCAGATCAAAATTAAGCACTGAATGGTGGCACCTATACAGGTCTGTCGCCTCTTACGCGCATTTAACATGCGCGATTTCAACTTTACGCGGTCGGCAAAAACAAAACAAAAAAAGAGAAAAACAACAGTTTTAATACTATGCCTGTAGTGCGGGCGATTTCGCCCGCCATTGAACTCAATGGGGTTTTGGCTATACGCGGTTTTTGCTTTATGCGCTAACCGCGGAACGGAACCCCCGCGTAAGATGAGACAGACCCTGTAGTCTCCAGGATCATGCCTCCACATTAGAACCTGGGAGGGAAGAAGAAAAAAGTGGAGGACTGTGATCTGCTCCTCCTGGGCTAAGTTTGGGCACTTTCCCATGTCATACACAGATGCATCTTCTTTGGGTAATGTGCAGTGATTGTGGTTACTTTTGATAGTGAGGCAGGTAATACATCTTCATCCCAACAAACAGTAGAAAGCTCTGGGCTGAAAACCTTTTGGGTGGTACATTTGTATGAATATTTAGCTTCATTTTATTCTCCGTATATCTGACAGCTCTGCCTCTTCTGGAGGGGCTTCTTGATTGTAACAGAGAAGAGGGCATTTAATGCTCTAGCAAATAGTGACTGTTCTCACTGAAAGGAGGAAACAAAAGGCAGAAGGTACAGGTTTAAAAACCATGCTCTATTGAGATAGCCTGCTGTAAGATTGGCTGTGCAGCAAATGAAATGAGAAATGAAATGAGATCAGGCTTGTAAAATACACCATTTGTCAACTATCTCCAGCATTTCATGGGTTTTTCTGTTTTGCAAACAGCTAAACTGCAGTAAAAACAGTCAGAGTCCCTCAAGGCTGATGTTCAATACAGCCCATCCTTAATCTTTGTATGCCATGCCATTGCCAGGAAGAATCCAACCTTTCATGCCATGGAGTTCATTCCCACAGTTGCCTCAGAGATGTCAGCATTCTCTGTATAAACAGATAGTCCAGAAGAGTGTGTGTTTCTCCTCCCTCCAAATATCCCATTTATGGGACACTATTATCTGCATGATGAGTGAATATAAAACCATAGTACAAGGATTTTATACTCTGCCATTAGTTTGCAACTCTGCCACCAGCTATTGGCCATCTTTGATGCTCCTTACTGAATGCTCCAAGAAACATTCCCCAGTGTTTGAGGACTCTCGGCTCCATTTTGAGGGGAATGAGAGAGGAAACAAAACGAGTGTTGCTGAGCAATGCTACAGTCTGATATCTTTGTACTGTACTATGGTCTCAGAAAATCAGAGTTAATTCAAACCATAATACAGAGCCAGAATATACTTTTTGTTAAAATGGCTGCGACTTACCATAGCAGTTTTATAAGAAAATCTATCCAGCCATCTCTGTTAGAAACACTGGCAAGTAATTTAGGCACAATGTTTAGGTTCTGGTGTCTTATGTATAAATATACAGGAAACAAATGGTGAAAAATTAAGTAGATTTTAAAGCATTCTGTCACTTTTGGTAATCCAAGGTGTGGGTATCACAGGTAAGGATTTGAGGTGGACAGGGAGGTGTGATCTGGGGTACAAGCCTGGGAGCTAGGAATTACTGAGTTCTTGTCCTAGCTTTGGCAGGCACTTTCTATAGCCTTTTAGCAAATCACTTAACATCTTTCCATTGATCCTTCCTCCCAGTAAACAGGTACTACATATCTTCCTCTTAGGTAAGAACTACATGTAGAGCGTGTACAGTCTGGTTATTGTCTTTTAGATTGACTAAAATATCATTAATTGTGTTACTTGCTATACCACAGCATGCATTAAGTGAAACTGCAATACTACATCACAAAATATAACTTGTATTTATTATGATAGGTGCAGTTTGATTTTAATTGATAATACATAATGCAGTAGCAAATGTAGACGAGTGTTTTTGTAAAAGAAATGATCTAATAATGTGAACTGTCATTACAGTGCCGTCTGTTATTAAAGCTTTGCTGTGACGTAGGGCTAGACACCAGCTTTTAGTAAGAATTATCAGGTTTGCAGATTACTAAAAAGAGACTTATCAAAGTTCCATGGTACATAGATATATCTTGACAATGTCCCTTTAAAACTTGTCTTGGTTAAATGTATGACCATTGTACTTAGCTTTAGATTCTGTTTTGTTTTGTTTTTAGTTGGGGCAGAATCCTAAAAATAAATAGACATTCCCTTAGTTTAGTATTTAATAAAAGCTATTTAGTAACCAGCATGGGAAAACATAGATTTCCCAGTTGACAGTTAATTTGGCTTGGGATGTGCTCATGGTGCAATATGTGTGCTTTTCTTCCAGTTAAATCATTAAAAACAAAACTTCCATGCATCTTGCTTTTGGGCGATAGAGTGAAGAGTCTGTTTTCTCCTGTCCCGGAGAGCCCTTCTTCAAAATCAGACTATGTTGAGACCTTCTGGCGAAATATTAACAGTGACTATAAAGTTTAGTATTTGATTCTTTGCATGAAGTACAGATGAGCACCAGATGTTGGGGTGTTGATTTAATAGATTTTACTGTATACTATGTGTATTACTAAAATGATCATCGTGCAGTTTCTTATCCATCTCATGTATTTTCTATTAATTTTAGCAGCAGTCCATTGTAGCCCTAAAGCAAATACTTTAGAAGAGAAACAAAATACAAATGCAGTCTTCTGCAGTGCACTGAAGTAGCTGATAATGGCAAATTAGGAATCTGTCAGCATTGTATGTAAAATGTAACTAAAATGTGTTTGTATTAAGCTGCCACTCTTGTTCTCCCATCTAACCATAGTCCTTTGTGTGCAGCTCCTGCATGAACTGTACTATCCTCCAAGGTTACAAGTGTCCGTGGCCACTTGCAGACTGACAGCAGCAAATGGGATATGCAGAAGCCAACTTTTATATAATGGAATGTTAGCGTCCCAAGCTTTATTTCATGTTTTCTTCTTTCCTTTCAAGACAAAACTTGCCAATGGCACTTCCAGCATGATTGTGCCCAAACAAAGGAAGCTGTCTGCAAGCTATGAGAAAGAGAAGGAGCTGTGCGTCAAGTATTTTGAACAGTGGTCCGAGTCCGATCAAGTGGAGTTTGTGGAACATCTCATCTCCCAGATGTGTCATTACCAGCACGGACATATAAACTCGTACCTCAAACCTATGTTACAGAGGGACTTCATCACTGCACTGCCAGGTATTTCCACCCGGTTGGGGGAAGGATCTTCCATGTTGTCCTTGAAAGAGCTATGGCATTTGGCTTCCTGTGACAGTGGGCCTTCCCTAGGGGAGCGTGTTCTTCAGGGAGAAGTTTTACAAAGTAGATAGTAGCAGATTGTGAATGAAAGGCTCTGTAGAAGTGCACAGTAGTAGTAACACTTCACTCAATAGCTCTACCCTTTTGATTGAAATAAGTGGCAGATTTTACCAAATGTCTAGGGCACATGACACAGAAAACATAGCACCTGATTGTCATTAAGACAGTAACAGTGTCTGAATAACAGAATTTTCAAAATTGTAACTACCTTTTATCATCTCTGGTTTTCCCGTGGGATTTTTTCATTCAGAATTTTGACCACTTTTTATTAATAAAATATTTTCCTGTAGCCACTGATTTGAATATTAATTACCTACAGTGAACAACATATCAGGATAAAGAGTGGACGTGATAACATATTCATATTTTGTATTTCTATAGTGCTTTTCATCTGAGGACATTGGCCTCAGCTACATGTTTGGATACTGTGGTGAATGGGGGTCACAGAAGTACCTAAGTAGATGAAAGCACTGAATAAACAATTCTGTCAGTACCCCTGTGAGGGAGATACAATTATTTCCCCTGTTTTACAGATGGGGAAACAGAGGCATGGGGTAGTAAGTGACTTGCCCAAGGTTATGCAGCAAGACAGTATCAGAACCAGCTTTAGAATTCTGCCTTTCAGTCGCATTCTCAGACCATTAGATCACACCTCCATAGAAGTTAGTGTATTATAATTCAAATGGCTTGGTTGGTTCCTGAGTCTCTGATGGAATTAAATAAAATGTTTTGCCGTCTTTGTTGATGACTCTGAACACTTAGTTGAAGAGAAAATTGTTTGGAAGAATTTCTCTCACAAATTGTTTATCCTGTGCAGACCTTTGAAGAGCTGCTCAATTCCTACGTGTCCTTCTTTCCAAACATTTGACTTCTAATGGGATTGTTCCACATGATACTTAAATTCTAGGGCTGAAGACTGAGAAAACATGTTTGTTTTTTAATTGTGGATCTTATAAAGAATAAAGCCATCATGGGAGTGTTGCTCGGAAATTAAATACACAGATTCTTGGGATTTTATAAATTATAACTGCTTCATAATCAAATGGCTCTGGTAGACCTTGAAAAAAAGCTTTATTGTGCTAAGTGTGTTGTGGTGGTGGTAGTTTTTAGAGGTCTAGTGGCAATAATCTCATGTACCAGAGCAGCATTATAACGCATGGAACTCTTCTGTTAGACAGACATAGGGAGCAATTTGAAGAGGCATTTGCCTTTCCATAGTTAAGATTGAAGCACGCTCACTTTCTGTTATAAACCCAATTTTTTTCAGTCTTTCTCTGCCCAACTTCATCAAAGCCAAACGAATCCACCTCATATTTCACCCGTTAATCTCACCCTTGGGGCCTTTTTCTGGAAAGTTTTGGGAAGTAGCAGAAGTCATTTCAGAAGGGATTTAAAAAATTTTCTTTGAGTGGTTGCAGACATGTTTTCCATTCAGGTGTGCGTGTGCCTGGCGCACCCAAACTGGAGAACTTTGCCTAGTAGTACCCTTAGGGACAGCACCCACGCCCTGTGTCTCTTGGCCCCTCCCCAGGCTATTTAAGGGTAGTGCTCCTCCAACCCCCCCTCAGTTCCTTCTCGCCACTCCTGAGTAGAGTCAGAGCACTTGGTGTGGTATTTCCTTCCCACTTTTCCATCTCAGTCTCTTGGATTTTGTTGTCTATATAAAGCAACAAAGAGTCCTGTGGCACCTTATAGACTAACAGACGTATTGGAGCATAAGCTTTCATGGGTGAATGCCCACTTCGTCAGACGCATGTATATATAGTCTATATTTTAAGTTAGTTTAACATTACTTATGTTTTTAGTTTATAGGAGTTAGAATAAATATCCCCTCACCAAGGTGTAACTATTGTCCATTGTTTGGGGTGGCTGTTCCCAGCAATGACCCCCACATATGCTCCTGGGAGAAGGGCACATTAAAGAAAGGTGCTTCACCTGCGAATCATTCAAGAACAGAGGTGGTGAGGGACTTGCACCTCAAGCAGCACCTTATGGAGCCGGCCATGAGGCCTGCTTTGGCACTGGAGATCCGCATGGATCCTTCAGCCTCTCAGACAGCTTTGGAACCAGAGCGAGCCAGTGTTCCTTGACCAGACTCTCATGCCTCCCCCAGGAGGAAGAGAGATCATTCTCCTTCCTCATGTCCTCCAGACTGCAGAACCACTCCAGAGATTGGAGAGATTCAACCTTCTCTTCCAGGTGAAGCGCAGACAATCACTGTGATTCTTCTGATATGTGGGATGGAGCTGGGACATCCACTCGCTTTCCAGTACCGAGGCGGCATCAGTTGAGCACTGTACCATTCATGGGATGCCCATTGAGTCCATTACCAACATCGGCACCAGCTATTTCCATGCCATTGGTATCCCAGACAGCATCAGGCTTGCTTTGCCCCTCTGTTCTTGCTCCCCAGTTATTCAGGAGCATTGTGCTGCCCTGAGTACTTCTATGTGGTCCTCTGTGCCACCTGAATGATTGCAGACTTGTCTCAGTCAACAGCACTGTCTTCGGCACTGCCTAAGGGTACGTCTATACTTACCTCCGGGTTCGGCGGTAAGCAATCGATCTTCTGGGATAGATTTATCGCGTCTTGTCTAGACACGATAAATCGATCCCGGAAGTGCTCGCCGTCAACGTTGGAACTCCTGCTTCGCGAGAGGAGTACGCGGAGTCAACGGGGGAGCCTGCCTGCCGCGTGTGGACCCGCGGTAAGTACCCTGTAGTTCGAACTAAGGTACTTCGACTTCAGCTACGTTATTCACGTAGCTGAAGTTGCGTATCTTAGTTCGAACTGGGGGGTTAGTGTGGACCAGCCCTAAGACTCAGAGTAGGCAGTCGAGGTCAGCCTCCTTATGGGTACTGAGGGGCGCGTTAGCACAGCTGCTATCTTCAGCACTGATGATGACAGTGCAGACCACATCTACGGGATCAGTACCAACCCTGGCTGCAGTACCATCTTGGTTTGCTACCAAGTGGGAGTGCAGTGCCCTTGCCTGTCCTCAAGACATCAGCTTCTCTCTCTGCTTTAGTAACGATGCAGCCAGCCTATTGAGCTTCGGACGATGCTGGATGTTTGCTTGTTGCACCTGGGGTGAATCCCCCCATTGTCTTCAGATGACTTGGGGGGATTCATCGAGAGCAAGTTCGGAGGCACCCTCTCCCTCATCACCAAGACATCATTCTCAAAGATTGTCAAGACCTCCTGTGGATCACGATCAGTACCAACATCAGCACTGCTCCTGCAATAGGGACCGAAGGTCTTGGCCCAGTGCCTACTGCCCACTTATGCCATATCCTTATATTCAGTGGCCGCCTTGGAATCTATGGACCGTTTCTCAATCTGTGAAGTCCCAATCGTCAGCCCACTCCAGGGCAAGGTCTCCTGGCCACCCCCAGTATTCCCTCTTCAGTCACCTATATTGCTGACTCAGACAGAGTTGGCTTCCTCAGCGCATGCCCAAGGACAGAGAGTTCTAAGAGGCTGGATCTCTGAATTTATTCAACCTCATCCTTATAAGTTGGCATTGCAAATCGGCGGGCACTGTTGTTGAAATATAATTTGCGAAATTGGGGGTCTATAGCCAAACTCACAGACAAGTTGCCTGAACCCTCCAGGGAAGAGTTCAGAGCGTTTATTGCATACAGTTGTCTAGCCGCCAAGACAACTTTGCAGTCGGCACCGGACAGAACAGATGCCACTGCCAGAGTTATGGCTTCAGCGATCACGCTGAGAAGGGCCTCATGCTTGCAGCACTCTGGCATAGCTTTGGAGGTCAGGCTGGAGTTGCTAATCCTCCAGGATTGTCCTGGAGTCTCCAGGAATTAAAGGTTAACCATTAATTAAAGATTATGTCGTGTGATGAAACTTCCAGGAATATGTCCAGCCAAAATTAGCAACTGTAGGTCCAGCAGAGAATAGAAGACCTACCTTGCAATGGTTGATTTTTTTTTTTTCCTCTGACAAAATGGATGAGACTTTACATTCATTTAAGGACTCAGGAGCAACTCTGCATTCCTTGGGGGTTTTACCCCAAACATAGAAAGGTGCCAATTTCTGGGTCAGCAATGGCAGCAGCAATACCGTCACCAGTGGTGCTTCCAGCAAACATCTTACCCATCGAGGCAGCAGGACTACTCCAGGAAGGGACATAAGTCGCACAGAAGAAGGCCTCCTGGGTCTAACTTTAACCAGCCAGCCTGTCCTCCCCCAGCTTTGGGCAAGCAGCCCTTTTGACTGGTTGATCGACACCAGTTGTGAACTTCCCATCATTCGGGGACAGGCTTCCTCACTTGCACAGTGCTTGGGAAGTGATAACCTCAGACAAATGGTCCTAAGCGCTGTGGGATCGAGTTATGCCATCCAATTTCCACTCCCCCTTCCCCCCCCATCCCTTTTCAGGGACCCCCCTCACGAGTCACTGCTCCTACAGCAGGTCCAGACTAAGTGAGCTTTGGGGGTTATAGAGGAAGACCCCCTGCAGCATTGGTGGGCTGGGGCGGGAGAGAAGGATTCCACTCACAGTATTTCCTGATTCCCAAGTCCAAGGGAGGCGTGAGACCTGTTCTCAATCTCCAGAGTCTCAACAGGCACATCAAGCACATGAGATTCTGCATGGTTACCCTAGCTACCTCCTCCCATCTTTGAATCACAATCACCAGTTTGCTGCCCTTGTTCTTCAAAACGCCTATTTCCATGTGGCCGTTTTTCCCAAGCCATGTCTTTCCTTACCTGGATGATTGGTTAGTGAGGGGCAAGTCCACAGATCAACTCCTCAACCACGTCCAGTTCAGACTGCGTCTCCTCGATTGGCTGGGTCTGATCGAAAACAAAGCAAAATCAACTTCAGTACCAGCTCAAAAAATCAAGCGCATTAGGGGGT